CTGTAGCAGAAATGTTTATAAAAATCAACGTAGTGTTATACATGTGGCTTAACCACCTTAAGGAATTTAGGTTTAATAAGATGTTTGTAAATACTTTAGGAGCTCCCTGCGAAGAAAAGGCCTTATCAACATATTTCATTAAAAAAAAAAAAAACTAGAGAAACAGATGCTCATACCCTGAAGTTACTCTGAAATATTAGACAAAAATGGTGAATTACTGACTTGTTCAGTGATTTATAGCAAGTTTTTTTCTAATTCTGCATGCACAAGATCAGTTGTATGCAAAAATTCAATGTGCTCTGCAGTAAACAAACAGCATGTGTTAAAAGTAAAATGTAAGTGTTTGTTGTCTAGACTGTAACGATTAACTTCCTGTCAGAGTGGACAATCAAGCTGCACATGTGTGTGCACACTCATACAAGTCTGAACAAAGGAGGTCAGGGTTCAGAGTTCTGTTACACTATGACTGTGTTGAGATTTTTTTTCCCCCCAGCAGTGAAGGAACAAGAGGTTGGCTTAGAGTAAGCATACCTGCATATTGCACAAAGTGCTGGCCAAAGGGTAGATGAATGTGCCATTTGAATGATAAACACTTCTCAGTCTGTCCCTTAGCTATTGACAAGCTAAGCTCCAGTCACTTCCAGACCAAGATGCTGGGAGTGACCATTTTCAGTTCTTTCCACTGCTCAGCTGTTATCACAAGTTGTCATATCAGCCTACTAATAGGGCTTCAGTTCAAGTCCATGCTTTCTCTGATACCTGGGGACCAGGGCCAATCACTATAGGGGGACATGCTTGTTTCAGAATTCAAAGTGACTGAGTGAATAAGCCATGAACTTCCTGATGGCAAGGACTTATTTCTCTGCATCCTCCACAGCCTGGCAGAGTGTGTCCAATGTATTAATTTGAGGAGTTGATGGAAAGGTAAAAGTTACCAAAGGGGAGGAAAGAAAATCTTCTGAGGTAAACAGAACACTTATGCACCAAATCCCCCCACTGGATTCTGGGCTCTTGAATAATGGGAAGAGGCCACAAGGTGAACAGAGGATGGAAGGAGAGAATCTGAGGAAGGTTAGTGCAGGCCTCATTCTTGTCTTTGTTGGCAACTATTAATATAAAGGCAGCTGGAGAAAAACCCAAGGCACTGGAGATAATCAGGCTAGCCGCCCAAGTGAATGGTTCCTTTTCTGTTTCTAGCTTGAGGTAATCTGCTACCCATACTTTGGGAGCTTCTAAGACTAGGCCCAGCTAAACAGCTAGAGCAGGAAGAAAAGTGTTAATCTCCACAGCCAGCAGAAAGTGTAAGACGACCAACTAAAATAGCAGTCATTTTTCTTATGACCACTAGTGTAATTAGGTCTGAAAACACAGTCTCTCAATTCTCATCTTAAAAAGGTGGAAAAAATCACCACATACCAGTTCCTCAGAGCAATGGAATTGCCCAGGAAACCTTCCTATTGCAAATGTTTTTATGGTTCTGGAAACTTCTGTATTTCTCCCCTGGGAAGACTCCCTCATGTGTTCGCGACTATGTCCCGGAAAGTACAGGTCATGAACACTTTACAGAGGTGATGTGCAGGGATAGAAAGACCAAAGCTTGGGAGTTAGATCTTGGTTCAAAGTTTTGGCTGTATGCTTATTACAGATGACTGAGTTATTGATCTTTGAGCCTTTCTAATTCCAAATCTGTAAAATAGGTCTAATAAAACTGTCCCCACATGACTATCCTAAGGAATATTATGGCCAGCATGTTACCTGGCCTCTGGTAGATGCCCAAATGTAGGTCTTTCCCCCATGCTAATGAAATGAGTTTCATTAGTAAGATTCCATATCTTACCAAACAACTCCAAGGATCAGCAACCTAAGACGTGTGGGAGGAAAATACTAGAAAGGAGCAAACTGCTCACACTGAATCAGGCTCTGGCTTTCCCTCAGCTCCCAAGTCCAGTGCCACGGTCCCCCACTGTTGGGCTGAACAGCCTAGCACTTAGAATGCTCATGAATCAGACTTGGGTCCAAATCCTAGTACAGCAACTTACTAGAAGACTGCAGACATATAATGTAATCTCAGCTCCATCATTTTAAGGCAAGAAAGTAAACATGAGTATGGGATGAATTAATCTATCTTAAAATGCTTAGCACTGTGCCTAGCACAAGTCAACATTCAAATATTATCACATCACCATTTGTCACCTAGCCAGCAGAACTCTAGTGGATGACAGGTTGAGAAAAAAATATACCTCTAAGGGGAAAAGCCATCAAAAAGAACCTCAGGAGTATTAAATGCATAGCTTTAAGAGTAAAAAGTAGCCTTTGTGACATTCACTCTCTGGGAGAGTGGCCTATATAAGTAGACCAGCCTCTTGATAAATGGACCAGAGCCTCCACCACCCGAGAATCAGCTAGGGCTGCTGGGAAGAAACTTGTAAAGAAGGTAAGCCCATGTTATTCACTAGACACTACCTGCTCTTTCCTTAATCTTTTCTTCTTCTTCCTGGGGCTCTGATGCAAGTACTTGGTTTTCCAGGGTCCCTCACTTTTCATTGCAGCCTAGTCTCTTCCTCAGCTTCCTCCCCCTTCCACCTAAATCACAGTTTTGAAATACTATTCCATGTACCAAGGCTAGACCGCCTGCCTAAGAACTACATGGAGAGCTTGTTAAAAATACAGTTTCTCAGAAGTTTCCACCCTCAGGAAATCTGATCCAGCAGATCAGAGACGGGGCCTGGTCACCCAGTCTTTTTTAAAAATCCCCCAGTAATTCTTAGGTGTCATCTTATCTGGGAATTACACCAAAAATCAATTTTACCTCTCCTGTGGCCCAGTTGTCCTGGGCCTTTCTTTGCCCTGACCTATCTAAAAACCTCATCTGTGTTTGGGCCCATGAATCATTAACTGGCAACAACTTTACATTCTCCTTCCAATATCTTATATAAAGAACATGTTAGGTCATGAACTAAAATATGATAAATTTCAAGAAAAATGAAGAGATATTCAGAATCCCCCCCAGTCCATTCTCTATAAATGGGGCTGACCTTATAAAATACTGTGGACTCCAGCTCTCCTGTCCTCTCTCCACTTTCCTGGTAGAAAGGCCAAGGTAGCCAAGAAGCACATACAGGGTATGAAAGTTTGGAGACAAAGAGGTACCCTAAGTGTGCAGAATCAAAAATGAACATTGTACTGAGCATCAAAAACTAAGCACCACCCAGAGGACCTTATATGGATTATCTCATTCAGCACTCCCATCTATAAGTATTATCCTAGTTTACAAATTTAAAAATAGAGATACAAAGAAATTAACTTGCCCAAATTCAGAGCAGACAAGTGGTTGAGGTGGTCAGTAAAAGAGTATTTCATAGGAACCAGAGAATCTGTGGAAGTGTGAAACGTTAGATTAGCAAAGACATAGCCTTTCCACTTTTTCCTTCTCCAGAGAGATTAGAAAAAAAGATAAAACTTTTGGAAGGAGGAAACAAAAAAACTGCATAGCAAGAAACCAGCAGTATCCCCCAGACTTTTCAGGGGGGAATTACTGAACTAGAGCTTTAAGGCCCCTTTCTGACCTGTGGCATAGGACATGCAGGGCCTTTCTGCTCTCCCATTGTGGGAGCATACGGATGGCGAGCAGGGCAACAAGAAGAATGCTACCTGGACTGAAGTTCTGGAAAACTGAAGGAGCCAATGAGCTCTTGAAAGTGGAAAGGAAGATAGCAGCAGAGGGCCAGCTTTCTCCAGGCTGCCCACGTTAGGGCGGTATGGTGAAAAGGAGCCCGTGGTTCTATAGAAACTTTGTCCAGACTCACTTATTATAATGTGGCTGAAGTCACAATTCTTCCCAAGTCCAGAAAGTAGCTTAAATAAATCAAAATGACCACGACTCATTTCAAGATGGCAGAAGCTCCCTTAAGCCTGCCATTAATTTCTGTTCTCTGCTCTTCCTGGCCCTTTTTCCAAAAGAAACTGCAGAGCTGGAATTGCAAGCACATTCGAGTACCTCCTCATCAGAAATGGAGTCTGGAGCTGATTAACCTTGGATTTTTTTTTCTCCCTGTTCAGTTCCAGAAAGGAGGTTGTCCCCAACATGCCAGTTCCTTATCCTGGGCCTAATGGAACAAGTCCTGTGTCTGAACAGTCATTTTAACTTTGACAGTACCATTAACAAGAACCAAAGATTGATAGGCACTACTAGCAATGCCAAAAACTTTGTGAGATCACTCTCCACAAGGATTTTCAGTGGATTCTAGAGAGATCAAAACCTTCCCTTCAACCACCATTAGCCAGTTGTCCAGCCACAAATGATCCAATGGAGACTACGAGTCTTTTTTCAGCTCAGAGTAAACCTGACTCCAGTGTCCTACATGCGGGATGAGATCTCCTTTCCACCCTAATTCATGATGCCCGATGAAATCCCCCCAGGTCTCACAAACGGTCTTGCCAACCACTGGCAAACTGAAAGGCTCATTCCTTTGCAGAGAATGGATGGGGTCAATTCGCAAAGATTCAAAGCACAGCATCTTTAAGAAGCCTCCATTTGGAAAAGATATTTAAGCAAAGCTGTGCTTCATGAAGTGAAAGATAATTAGTTGCTTCAGTGGCACGGGCTTCTCAGCTTCATTCTAAGGTAGATGGGCTCATTCGCTTTCAAGTCAAACGAACTCAACAACAATATATCATAGTTAACTGTGATCACAGCTCCATGGAATTTCAGCTGGTGCTGAAGTCCACAGAGGTACACTTAAAATTCCCCAATCTGTAATCAACCTTTTGTACATTTGTTCCTAATCACAGGATACTGTTTCATCTTAATGAACTGTTTTCTTAGCATATTATGGTTGGTCATTTCAGCACATCTAATGGCCCATTTGGTAAGTTAAATTACAATTAGGGCCCCTTGGATTTTATTTCCCAGCAAGGCCTGGAGGGGGTTGATATTTTTCCCCCTTCCCACTACTCGATTTCAAGGACAGAATTGCAGAAGAACAGAAGCACAGACCTACCTGTTGCAGTCGACGTGGAGCAGGAGATGAGAGGCACTAAGGGACAATGCGACCTTGTGCCACTGTCCATCTGCCAGCCGGTATGGAAGCGCCTCGGTCCTGGGTTTCCCATTATGCATATAGTGGTATCGGATCTCATCCCTCAGACCACTGCTCTCCAGTTCAAAATAGCTGCATGTAAAGGAACAAAAACTTGATTTTACTTCTGGACCTCCCAGTCATCAATCCTCACTACTTCTCTACCACCTTTCTCAGAATCTGCAATTAGCTACACATGACACAAAGATCTCCTAACCAAAAATCAACTGTACTGCATGGAATCCAATTCACCTGTTGGAGAACCTCACCGTGACACCTTGAGCTTCTGAAATGGGTACCGATTGATCCACTGTGAAGAGAGCCACAAGCTTACCAAAGCATGGTGCAGGGTCTCTTCCAATACCTAGAAGTACAGTTCAGAACCCTCTATTGTCTAAAAAAGCCTATTCATGTAGAATGGACTTAATGATGCTTATCTTTATTACTGCCATATTTACTTTTTCAAGAATTAAAGGACAACAGAAATGATGTTGGATTATCAGGGACTGAAATAAATTTAGGTAAGATTGCTTTACTAAACACATTCCCCCTGGACAAAAACCTTTAAGTGGACAACAATTCTTAGAGAAGGAGGAGAGGAATGGTTGAAGCTACTCATATATGGACCAGTATTTCAAATTATCATGTCATGAGACATGCAATTGAGTCTTTTCTTTCCCCCAGATTGTTGGGGCATTTTCCAGATCCATGAAAAACTCAGCACCATCACTGCAGTTTGCACTTTTGCCATAAAATGCAGAAGTTTGGGACACTCCTCAGGCCCACACCAGGACTGATACTTTCAGTGGCAGACCATTTAGTCTAAGCCTCTGAAATGCATCATCGGTGTCATTAAATCAGGCCTATTCTCACTGCCAGGCATTTCACTAAGCATTCATCTAACTTACCACCCCTACAAACCTAGAAGGCTGATACTATCTCTTTTTAAATGTTAAAAAACAGATTCTGGAATTAATCTACCCGAGCCGTAATTTAAACTCAGGTCTAAATTTGCCAGCCCATGTGTTTTCTACCAGCTTGCTGTCAATCTCAGAGGCACAATGACCAACTAGTAAGGATGGCCTCAACTAGCACTGTCTCCCAGCAATTCATTCGTACAGACAACTCAAAAATGACCTGCCTATGTAAGAAACCAGGTTCCATCCCTAGATTTGAAAGGACCTACTGTTTCTCTTCTAATCAGCTGAGTTGGCCTAACCCCACTGACCAGACCGTAATTTAATCTAAAACACAAGTTATCTTCTATGAGCACTGAAATGAAAAGATCATGAAACTCACCCTCTATTATGCAGGACTCCCAAGTCATGTGACAAAGAACAAATGCATATTTCTTGCTTATCTTTCACAGGAATCCTCCCAAAAGAGCAGTGCTGGGGAAGATCAGACTCTGACCTACGTACATCACACTAGACAGAATCAGGCCCAAGGTCATAAACCAAGGAGGTTACTTATACTATTGCAGCCAGCTCCCGGGCTCAGGTACACACTTATTAGTAATAATATACTACATATTTTATAAGACTGCAAAAAGAAAATCCCTTAACATGGAAGACATTCATTTTAAGGGAATTCTCCAAATTGCTTCTAAGCAGCTAGAACATAGAAAGAATCAAAATCTGAGAATTTAAAAGGTCAGGAAGACCTTAGAGATTATCTGGTCATTCATTTAGTCAACGTTTTGTTACTGAACACATAGTAAAGGGCTAAAAAAAGGATTTAAAATACAGATCTTGCTCTCAAGACGCTCTGAGACTAGCAGAAAAGGAAATAAAACGTGGCCCTCATACAAAAAAGTCAGAAACAAATGCAAGACAAAGAAAGCGGTCATGTCATGTGCTAGGAATGGACTCACTGCTTTCATAAATGTCATCTAATTTTTCAAGTTAGATATTTTTATCCCTGTTTTACAGAGTTCACTTGTGATTAGGGATTTTAAGTACCTTACCCAAGACCACACAGTTTCTGAATTTAAAAAAGCAGCATGATTTTGGGTAAGAGACCTCACCAAGATCATGAGAAATCTCTCAATTACTTCATTTTGACCAATAAGCTACTGTTGTGAGAAGGGACAGGACCTTAAACAGGATGTGAAAGACAATTAGAAATGCTCCTATTGATCACCTGATAGAATTTAAAACGTGGAGGGGGGGCAGGCAGAGCTATTTAACCAGGTTCAATCATTGTTCCTGGGGTTATGGCTTCATTGAGCAAGAGCTCATTACACGCATACCTTGTAAAGATTACTGTAGCAAGTTATTACCTCGGGGTAGTCTCAAACCTATAGCTCCAAGAGAAGAAATCTGCCCTGTTAGGCAAAATAGATACTCGTGTCTTAGGGGAAAGTTTCTGACAGCATCGTGCACATATTCAAGAAGTGTTGTATTCCAAACTTAGATGAAGTCAGAATGGGGTGTTTTGGGTTTTGTTTTATATACATCAAGTAACTACTGAAAAGGTCCTAAACACAACAAGGACACTGCATGGCTAAGTTCCATCTGGGTAAGATGGTTTCCTGGGTGCTGGGAGGGGAATAAGACAGTATTTCCAGAGAGTAACCCTCTGCTAACAGAAGTGTGAGCCTCAGTCCTCAAAGCAGCTTGGAGGTGGTCATTTGGCCTGACGACACTTGGCTGGAGCCTGGAGGGGAGACTCAGGATTTGCAGTAGAGCCCTGTTATTCAAAATATGGTCCACACACCAGCACCACCACCACCTGTGGAAATTCAGACTGTGGGGGCACCAAGACCTAGATGAGTCAGAATCTCCATTTTAGCATGACCCCCAGAGGATTCAGGTGCCCATTAAAGTTTAAGCAGCACTATAGGGGAGTATCCCAGGTGTTGCTTTACTTCCTGGACAGCTGGTTCCGGTGAGGGAAGCAGCAGTTTGATGCCATGAGCAAGTAAAAGCCCTGGTGTGCTGCCAGGGAGGAGGGGGGCCCTGGAGGTGATCATGTAAAGGAGAGTCTAGTAAGCTCTCTGCACCTGACCAGTCTGCTTTCTTCAGGTCTCAAGTGCTTAGAGGTCTTCTGTGGATTTTAGGGAGGGATCAACTATATGAATGATAAAAATCACCAGCCAGACTTGTAAGCAGCACTTCTCCCCTTGGCTTTGGGCCTCAACCAAGTCCTCAGCCAGGGAACTACTGTGGCTCCCAGAGAAGTCTGTTCTCCTGGCAAATAACTGAAAACAGCACAGACATTCACTACAGAGTTCTCCTTTTCAGATCGAACATCCCCAGCATCTTCTTTCTACCCCTCTACACCACCTAGACCACAAAGGCCCTCCTGGACATGGATTCTCTGCCTTACTCTTTCTAGATCCTTCCGCATGCTGGTCACCATGCTCTAGCTGTAGTAAAATGAATCATTTCCCCTTGTGTTGCAACCAGGAACACAGACATTGTCAGGACTATGCACAACCATGAGTGTATCCTAATGCTTGCAAGGACCTTCCCATTATCTAACACTGCAAACCATTTCATACAAAATGTCATGAAGGTGATCTTTCCTACCCTGTATTTATACAACTAGTTTTTTTTTAAACTTACGCCCTTGCTCAAGTGCTAGGGAGACCCTATCCCACCATCAGCATGAATAATTCTCCAAAGCCCACCACTGAGTATGATGAAAAGAGTTACTATGAAGTTTTACAAGACTTCCTGAATTTCATGCAATATTAATAATTCAGGAATAATTCCAGTTAATATAGTTAGATCAAGATCAGCCAAGCAATTTTTATTAGACTTTTTGTCCATTTCCCTAAAACTTATATTAAGGGATCCATTTTTTAGCTTATTAGACAAAAGAAATTTAAAATTTGAAGATCATACAGCTGTAAGTGGCAAAACTAGGACTTGAACCCTAGTCTGATAGACACTAAAGTGGATTCTCTCAATGGCGACACCCCATTACTTTCTACTATGTAAGAAGTTTTACATCTAGTACCACCTCTTATTTTGCCAAAATCTTAAATGGTAGTTATTAAATTCACATTTTAAGGTAAAAACAGAGGCTCAACTTGATAAAGTGCCTTGACCAAAGTCATGTAACTCCTAAGATTCAAATCCAGGTCTACTTAGTTCCAGGATTCATGTTCTTCTCACCACATTATATTCCTCTCCAGGTACAATGGTATGACCCTATAAAGGTCAGAGGGCAAGAGAATTCAGGTAGACTGAGCTCCCCCAGCCTTAGTCCCCAAGATGCCCCATCCTGGCAAAGAATGTCCCTGCAGACTCAAGCACAAGCCCCATTCCTCCTGCCAGGAGGAAGTTATCACCATTTTTTTTAAATGGTGTAGGTGTTCATACAGAATCTCACTTCCATCTTCTGGCCATTTGCCTACTGCTGGGATAATAAAGAAAAGCTGCCAAAAACACCAGGGAGGTATACCGTGTCCAACCTCAGGTCAGGGGTCTCAAGGACTATGCAATTTTTTTGGGAAAAAAAAAGGCAATAGCAGAATTTTAAGTAATATTGCAAAGAACACTGGCCCAAGGATACCAAGACTTGATTCCAACCTTACACCTGCATCAAACCATGAAATTCTTGGCAAAAATATCCCTGCACCTCTGTACTTCGGTTTCTCCTATCCATTAATGATCAGATCTGATCCATAACGCCCCAGTATTCCTTGGAAAAGTTTTAGGGTCTAAGGTACAGGGAAGGGATTGGGCACCAGAGAAGCTTCACTCTCTGTTGTGTAATTTGGAATTTCCCCTAAGATTTCATTTAGATAAAAGAGATACACTTCCAAAGATAGTCTGAAACCACTGAACTAAGTAGTCTTCAGGGTCCGGTTTATGTCTAGATTTCTGTAATTCATCTAATACTCTAAAAAGTATCCATGGTGATAAAGCTATTGCTAAGCTAAAAATAGAAAGAGGGGACATGAATATAATCCTCTCCCATCTTGTTTAGGACAACCCACCTTACATGGCCCAGTATTGTTTTGCAAATGGTATTTTCCAAAAACACTAATAATTTTTTCTCCCATATCACATGTGCTTCAATGAAATCTTGATATTCTTCCAGATTGGAAGGTTTAGATCTATGTCCCCTCCCCTTGATCT